AATAGAGTAAAATATAATAATAACAAAATAATAATAATAATAATAATACAAAAACCTAATTATTTGTAAAATTGTTTTCTATATAATAATAATAACAAAAACGAAATAAAAGGGAAGATATAATATTTTTTTTGTTCATATTATTTGTACTATAATTTTCATGAATTGCAAGTATAAAAAAAACGGTAGTAAATAATAGCAAAAAAATAAATTATATATATATATATATATATACTGTATAGTATACATATATACAATACATATAGATTAATATATACTGTATATAAGTTATATACATATATATATATATGAAAAATTCAATCTACTATATACTAGTGTTGCTTTATTTGGAAATATGCCTTCAATGTGTGTGTGTGTGTGTGTGTGTGTGTGTGTTCATTGAGCACTGGTAGCTATTTAGGTTCAGTAGAGTTCACATGAAAATGTCACTAGGTCATTCATACTACACAATGTGTACGAAATATATATATATATATATATATTCATTGATTATTTTCTCAATGCTATAGCACTGGGATGTATATTATCTAACCATTCCTATTACTACTACTACTACTACTACTATAACAACAAATACTACTATATATATAATATATATATATATTTTCATTCACTTATTTTTCATCCAAAACACACAGCACTTGTATGACACACACACTGAGAGAGAGAGAGAGAGAGAGAGAGAGAGAGAGAGAGAGAGAGAGAGACTTAAGTAAAAGTTTTAACTAATTTTTTGTTTGTTGATAAATATAATAATGAATAGTTTAAGTATTATATAATTATTGTAAAATATAATAATAATTATTTCGCTTGAAATTAAACACAAAAAAATATATAATTAATATTTCTAAATATAACAAACTTTTATTGTTATTATTATTATTATTATTATTATTATTATTATATCACAAGATGTTTTAATTATTTTTATATAAAACATATGAATACATAAAATAATTATTATTATATATAAAAAAAGTGTAAACGCTTAAAAAACATGTTTTTTTTGTATAAAATAAAATAATAATATGTTTACAATTTAAAAAAAAATAATAAAAACTTATAAGTATTTTTTATAGAAATTATTTTTTAACTAAACAAAAATATATTTATGCATAAATCTTAATATCAATAATTGTAAATATTATTTATATATAAAAAGTTCATAAATATAATTCTAGGTATTTCTTTATTTATTGAAAAATTTAAATCTAATTTTTTTTTATAAATATATTTATTAGAAAACATAACGTCAATAATATATATATATATATAAAAAGGTCATAGACTAAAAATTTAATTCACAATAAATTAAAGTCTAAATATAGACATATATATATATATATAAATTTTTATAAAAGTGTAAATTCAATAAAATAATTGTTGAAAAATAAGTCTAATAAATATATACTGTATATATATATTTCAAATGAATAAACTTTATTTTTATTTTCAATAATATAACTGTATGTTTTTTAGTGAGAAAATGAAATTTATATTAAGAAAAAAACATATAATTGACTTTATTGTTAAAATAAAAATAAAAGTTAACACAAAAAACACTATGTATTGAATTCAATGCCTACACACCAACAAAATTTCATAATACTTTATGATTTTATTTTATTTTGATTTTATTTGTTAATAATTCGTTGCAATTTCTAATTACTTGTTGACGTAAATAATACTAATAAAATGCTAATAAATATATATATATATATTGATATATATATATATAACTTATTGCTTGATTAATATACAGTATATTCATCGTTTAGTATTGTGTAATACATATTACTATTTTAATAATTCATAAAACTATTATTTAAGATTAATATATATATATATATTATTAATATTCTATAGAAATAATTAAAATATTGTTTACACTATTGGAAATATTTTTAGTTTTTGATAAATACTTGTTTTTCGGTCAATTGAAATATATATATATATATAAATTCCTGTGAATTTATTTGTTAGATTTATTTTTCAATATAAAACCTAATAAGTGTAAGTAAAAGTTGTGTGTGTGTGTGTGTGTGTGTGTTATAAAAAATAAATAACTTTTAAATAAATTTTTTAAATAAATTCAATGTAACAAATTTTTTTCAAATAATTTTTAAAAATATATATTCATATTTCTAATATCAAAAATAGTATTAATATACAGTTATATGTATATATATATATATATATATTTATAATTATTCTTATACTATAATAATTTATTAATTAATAAGTTTGTTTTTATGTTAATTAGAAATTTTTATTATAACTAATAAAATATATTTATATTAAGTCTAATAATAGTAAATATATATTAATATAATTATTAAAATAAATTTTTTGTTATTGAAAACTCCAATATTTAGTATTTATGTCTTCATATATATATAATTCAGTCAAACAATTATTTTTAGATTTAATATTAGATTTAAATATATCTATTAAATCTAATATTAGTAAAATGTTAATTAAAAAAAGATTTAAACTATTATAGATAATAAATAAATGCAAATAACAATAAAAAAAACAATCTATATATAGAGATGTATATATAAATATATATATATAAATACTATAAAACTATTTTCAATATATTTATGTATTAATAACTATTTTATTAGATTTAATAATGGCTTCACTATAATTAACAATATCTTATAATATTAATATATATAAATGATTTATAAATAATTTTTAATCTATTAAAATTAACATATAGCTATAAATTTATACAAATTTATATTGTATTTAAAATTAACTAACAAATATATCAAATTTTGGTAATTATTATATATATATATATATTATATAATATATCAAATGAATTATATATATATGTATATATTTATTCATATATATATAAATACTTATTGGTCTATATATCATATCGTATTTCATAATTACTAAAAATAATGTCTAAAATTAGATAAATATTATTAAGAATTTTTACTTATATGTCTCAAAAAATACTAATAATTTAATCATTTTTATTGTAAATAAGTAAAATTGATTTTTTAATAATAATATATTTTATTTAGTTATATAAATTATATAATAAAATAAATTTTTTAAGTTATAATTTTTTTCATCGAATAAAAAATCAAAATTAAATTAACAAAAAAATCAAACTTTAATTAACATTTAAAAAGTTTTAATTCTTATTTTAATGCAATTTATATAATTTTTTTGTAACATTTAATAAAATCAGTAATAATAATAATTATATTAATTTTTATAGTTATATATATATAAAATTTCTCAGAAATTGCAATCAATTTTCTTTTTAAAAACTAAAAAAATGTATATAATTTCTACTGTAACTTAATTACCGATGCATTTATATATCTATTAGTATTTTTAATGTTTTATTTAAATGATTTTTTTGTAAGAAAAAAAATCATATGAAAAATTTCATATATTTAACATCATATTTTATATAATAATAATAATAATAATAATTATTATTATTTTTATTAACTGTATATTATTGCCGATAATCAGAGTGCTATTCTTTAAAAAAAAATTTTAAAATAGATAGAAATGACAAAAAATCAATATTTATTTCCAGGTATTACTTATACTATATATATAAATAATTTAATCTAAAATAATTATATTAACAATAAAAATTGTTTTGAATTTTTTAAAATTATTTAAAGATTTTTAAAAAATTATATCAAATTATCATTTTTTTCGTTTGCAAAAATAAAATAAAAATAATAGATATATCATATATTAATAATATATATATATATACACACAAAATATAATACTATATATATATATAACAGAATATTCTGTATCACAACAACACATATAAACATATATAATACATACACAGAATATTCTGTATATCGATATACTATATACTACTGTACTGTATATACAAGTTTGACAAAATAGTCGACAATCGTGTGTAAAGTTCATAAGTTAGCGGTGAGCTCATTGAGCAGAATCGCGGGGCCACCAAAAACACTACCGTCACCTTCAACATACATACATCACAAGCATTGGTAGTTTTACATAATAATAATAATGGGGACAATCAGGTAGTGTGTGTGTGTGTGAGTGCTATACATGCAACTTAGTTTACTGTATAGATGCTGCCTAATGTAAAGTGATCTATATATATATATATATAAGTAGTTAATATTGCACTGGTAGATTTTTTTTAAATATAAAAATTAACTTTAACTATTATTTTGATACCTGTCCTAACAGTCCCTTACCTCACACACACACACATTAAGATGCTATATAAGTGTATATACTTTTAAAAAATACTAGTATATACAGTGCAGTATATCATTAAACATATATATATATATATATATAACGCTATGTACTGTATATATATATAAAAACAATTGCAAACTGTCGTCCCATCATCACCAGCATCATCGTCATCACCCGGTGCTAACAGGAATGCCATGAGGACAGTATGCACAGCATTGCACACACATATACACTTACATACAGTTAGTTTTTATTTTAAGAGCACTGGTAGGTATTTGTAAGTAAGTAAGCCGTAATTGTTGAACGATAGTACAGTATGTGTGCTTGAAATACATATACATTTAGAAAACTACATTACATTTTGATAATATGGGCTAATTTTTGTGCTTAAAGTTTACTTATTACTGTACAAAAACATCTAAATGCTATTTGCAATATATGTGTAGAAAAATTGCAAAGAGGAACGGTATGTATGGTTGAGCCCATAGCACACACACACATACACACAGATACACACAGTCAAAGCTCGTGCAATGGTTCAAAAAAAAAAATACATACATATATATTTAAGGGGGGGGGACTCACATGTTGTCACTGGCACTGTTATACACACACACACACACATGCATTATAAACACAGTATATTTTTCACACACACACACACATACCCATACCATACATGTTTGTTAGGCCTTTCCTAACAAACACACACACACACAGTTTGTCTATGTGTTGTTGTGGTGTTTAATCTGTATATACAGTATATACAGTATATACAGTATATATGTTTAATATAAATACATTATATTAATAATAATAATAATAACAACACTACACACACACACACACACACACAATGTTATATACTATATGTAAATGTGTGGCCATTTAGTATGGATTAATTGGTTGGTCCCCAAAATAATACTAACTATTTAATCGGCTATTAATTTAGTTATATATTTATATATGATATATACAGTGTGTATAAACAATACAAATTTTGTGTGTGTGTTTTTTTTAACAAATTAAATACATATTATAGCTAACTGTGCCATACTATACCCATACCATACCATACCATACCGATGCAATTTATTACTACATATATTATTATTATTAATAAGTGATTATTATTATTGTTGAAAAAAATTTTTTGTGAAATTTTATTTATTGTGCAAATAATTTCAATACATTAATAATATAAATATAATAAAACAACAATAAAGTTGGTATTAATTTGATTATAAATATATATATATTTTATTTAATTAATTAATTAATTAAAAAAGTTGTATTAATTACTAACTATTAACAAAATATTAACAATTAATATCATATATCACTACTACTACTACTACTACTTAAAAAACTAATACTTTTAAAAAAAAATTATTATTAATCTAATTATATATATATATATGATATCACAAACAGCTATCCGGCCGACACCGACACCACACTACCCGTCCAGACAATCAATCATTTTGTTGTTGATTAAGATATAGTGTGTGTAATACAGTGTGATTATTGCACCCCCACACCCCCACCCCATCACACCAAGTGTTCACAACAAACTATCGCCCCGATAGTGAGTGGCCGACAAACTATTGCAAGAGTTACCGATAGACAGACAGACAGCTAGACTGAACAATCAGACAGACAGTTGCTGTCATCGCCAGTAAAGTTACTGTCAGTGAAGTCCGTGGGATAAGTATTATGCTGTCGACGACCGGCTGTTTGGATGGCGAGTCATCACAAGTTAAGACAACAAGACAAGAGTTAGTGGTCTCTCTTTCTCTCTCTCTCTCTCYCTCTCTCTCTCTCTCTCTCTCTCTCTCTCTCTCTCTCTCTCTCTCTCTCTGATCACACCTTTATATCCCCCAAAAACCTCCCATACCTTATCCTTACACCAAATGCATGTGATGTTGTTGTTGTTGTCGGCAGTACTGCCCGTTAAGAGTCGCTTAAATCAGATCCACAGATCGCATGCCACACACACATACACACATATTTGTTGGCACATACATAGACACACACATACATACACACACATACATACACACACATACATACATACACATACATACATACATACATACACAGCAAACTATATAACAGATCCTATCTCTTAAAGCCATTCATTGATTCAGAGCTCTCTCTCTCTCTCTCTCTCTCTCTCTCGCATCACTCCTCTCAGTCTAACTCTTGGTCTTCTCCCAGAGAGGTTGTGTTGTGTTGTGTCAGTCTCTCTGTGTCTTTCAACGCCAACAGCAGTCTCTCTTACAGACTCTTTAGACACATATAAAACATATATATATATAACACATACACACAGACAGACCGAAAGAAAGAGAGAAAACTCTTTTCTCACACACTTCTCATACTTATATATATATATACTCTTGACTTTAATCCATAGTATCAGTGCTCTGACTAATACAACTACTACTGAACGTACGGCAAACAACGTCAACGACTCGGAGGACGACCACCACCAACACCACCACAACAACCACCAGAACAATATTAATAGCAACAGTAATAGTACTAATACTACTACTACTGGTGCTGAAGACGCTGCTGAACTGTTAGACAGCAGTAGCACCACTGCAACAGACTATAGAGATAACGACGACGACGACGACAACAACAGCGAAGATCGCAAAAAGACCGACAACTTGGACGGCATTACCACAACCAACAACAACAACACCATTGCCGTCGCCTCAGATACCGATAAGACGGCCAAAGATAGCCATCATAGCAGCCAAATGGGACCGTCGGATAGGAGAGGAGATGCCGGCGGCAACAAAAGCGGCGGCGGAGGAGGCTACCAATCTGGTGGCCGCAATCATCACCGTAACTCATCTTATCGTTCATCAAATATCTCAGGAACTGGCGGTAGTATGTCATCCGGCCAGCGGCCGCCCGACTTTCCGCTCAGGTATGTTATTGTTGTGTCCATTCATAGATATATTGATATATATATATATACAGTACATATAGTTTTTTTTTGTTTTATTTGTTGGCAATTGTTTGGTTGCAATTAGTTTTGTTAGTTTTGCATTTAGAGAAACTGAAAAAACAATTGCATAACTATTTATTGTTTGCTTATATGTATATGTTTTAGTAGTGTATGTGTGTGTGTGTGTGTAGATAACTATTCATCTTTATATCATATGACACACACACACACATACATACAAAGTTTATAGCATTTGACACACAATTATTGTTTCAAAATACCTGTGCGTTTGTATAATAATGTCTTTGCAAAATACTGGACCGATAAGGGATCAGCTGTGTGTGTGTGTGTATATGTATGTATGTGTGTGTGTTTGGTATATGATTATTAGACACTTGATTTTATTGATTGCCATTGATTATTGAAATTGTTTGTATTATTATTATTAGTATTATACACAATGTATATGATTTGGGCGATAATTTGCTGAAAATTATATACTGAAAATTATATACTGTATATTTTGAATATTTTAACTTTTAATTAAATGAATTTTATGGATATATATTTTTGGTTTATATATATATATATATATATATAGTTGGATTTAAATTTTTAGTTATTTGTTGTTGTTAATTTTTTCTAGTATAATATATATAGATTATATATATATCTATCTATCTAAATGTAGTTATATACGCCAGGTTTAACAATTATACATGATCTGCAATAATGTACTTAAATATATATATATATATATATACTGTATATTTGTATATATTTATATATTTAATATCCAAAAAAATATATATATATATTATATATAAATTTTATTTAGTATACATAATCTAGTGAGCTAGTAAGCTAATCAACTATATGATTTTTTTAAAAAATGTTTATTTATAAATTTATAAGCAATGTGTGTGTGTATTTGAATTTATGTGTGAAAAAATAATATACTATAATATACTATAATTATATAATTTGTGATAAATCTAAATCACATTTAGTTTTTTTTTATTATTACTAGTACTAGTACTACTGTATAATAATAATCTGTATTAATAGTAGTGGTGATGGTGTATGGGACCCATACCACTATCACATCACACACATCAGTATTAATAGATTAATAGATTAGATAATAATAATATTTTTAATAATATATGAATTCCCATAATATGGCCATACAGTGTGTGTGTGTGTGTTTATGTATAGTACCGGTACTTTAAAAAATATACAATTTGCTTGGCCTGGGTGATGATGCTAATCTTTAAATCATCAATGTGTATATTGCAAGACAAACAAACAAATAAACAAATAATAATAAATTAGACAAATTGTTTGGTTGTTTGTCTATTTATTTTAATTTAATTATAATTTTGTTATTGTTGTTGTTATTTGGCTTATTAACTGATCAATTACTACTTATTTCACACACACACACACACATACAAAATTATGATGAGCTGCACAGTTATCCATTATGATAATAATAATATTGATATTGATACCAATGATGATGATGATGATAATTATAATTATTATTAGTATAATAATAATAATATTGATGTAAATATTAAATAATGATCATCATCATTGAAATCATTGTACATTGAATTATGTATTAGGAGGTTATTATTATCAGTGAAAATTTATATATATATATATATATATATTATCCAATGATATAATATAATAATAAGAAAATAATATTAACATAAATTTTACATTTTTAAAATAATATTCTTATCTAATTATTCTATAGTTAATAATAATAGTAATTAGGTATTAATATTATTTCAAAAATGTGTAATTTATATGATATTCATATATATATATATTATAAATATATGATTAGTTTACCAGTAGTATTGACTAGTATTGACAGTAGATGAATGTGATAAACATATTAGTATTATTTATTATTATTATTATTTTTTTTACTGATATACGGTATAAAATCATATTATATACTGTACATTGATTTGTGAAAAATATTCAATATATACGTATATATATTGCCATTTTATTAATAATATTACCTCTAGATATATATTATATATATATATATATATATATACTGATACAGATACATTGAAAGATAGATTATTGCATATAAATAAATTAAGCTAGATCATATTAGAATAATAATAATTATAATACTTTATATTTATTTATTAATTACTAAGTTGCATATTAATAATAATAATATGATTTTGATTTAATATAACCAAACAAACTGATAGAAATATATATATATATATATATATACACTATATATTAGATTTAAAATGGATATTATAAATGTATAGCATTTTGCTAGCGATTAAAAAAATATATTTTATTGCATAATATATATATGATATTTGTTAGACATATTGTTACATAAAAATATTCATCAGAAAAAAACATGTATATATTTGTTATAAGCATTATAATAATTATTAATTGCTGTTTACCCCACCCTCCCCCTCACCTCCCACACACACATACACACTCACAGAATACTGGTGCTGAGCGATATGGTTGGTGCCATAATTGGCCGATCGGGTGGCACTATACGACAGATTACCCAACAAACCCACGCCCGAGTAGATGTTCATCGCAAAGAAAATGCCGGTGCACTGGAAAAGGTGATCACCATCTATGGTAATCCGGATAACTGTTCGGAGGCCTGCCATAAGATACTGGAGGTAATGCAAACCGAAGCTAACAATACCAATAGGGGAGAAATACCGTTGAAAATACTGGCCCATAACAACCTGATTGGCCGTATTATCGGCAAAAGTGGTGCAACAATCAAGAGGATTATGGAACAGTCGGATACCAAGATAACTGTGTCGAGGTTTGTTTGTTTGTTTATTTTTTATATAATATTATTTGATATATTAGATATAGGTATATATATATATACATAGTGTTTGTCTCCCTATAAATTGAATTATATATCATTATGGCATATATATTGTATATATATATATATAGGTATAACTAAAAGATACTTATATTATATATGATTTTTTATGATATACTGTATATATATATATATACATGTTTTACCGTATATTAGATATTAACATATTTTTTTCTAAATAATATCTTAAATTTTAAAAAGAAAAATAATTATGTAGTGAACATGTAATAGTTTTTTTTAATAAAAATTTAAGTTTATAGTAGTTTAGTTTAGTATTATTTTAGTTGTGATGCCTGGAAATTAAAATCTATTTTTTGAAAAAATAAATATTTAATTGGATTTTTTTAGGTGTGATTTGCAATATGATTTTATTTTTATTTTTTAAATTGTATTATAAGTTTATACTGTATATATATACCTTATATTGATATTTAAATCTTATTAATCATCAATATATTTATTATAAGATTATATACCTATATATATATACAGTATATATATATTACAATTTTTTAATCATTTTGAATGATATCAACAAATTGTTTACCACAAACACAATATATTTATTTATTTATACTGTATATAATAATATCATCATTTGGGTTATTATGTTATATATATATATTTTTTTTGTTGCCTCCACTAATATATATATATATATATATATATATGTAAATGTCAAACAACTATGTTTTTATCCCTCTATTTTTTTCCTAACTCATCCCAGTGCTCTCTCTCTCTCTCTCTCTCTCTCTCTCTCTCTCTCTCTCTCTCTCTCTCTCTCTCTCTCTCTCACTTATTGTTGTTTTAAATTATTTAATAAAAATCGTGATATTATTTAATTTTTAATTATATTTATTTGCAATTTATACTTATTGGCTTTATCCAAAAATTATAAGCTAAATAAATATTTTTCTATACTCTATACTCTATATATGATAAAAATAGTATATATTTACTGATATAAATTTATATATAAATATTTAGTAGAAGTTAATGGCATTGATTTTATTTATTAAAAAAAATACAATAATACAATTTAGTTAAATTTGGTTAATATTTTAAATTTGAACAGATATTTATAACATATTTTTCATCAATCAACAACAAAAAACTTGCAAACTATAGCACTGGGATATTTTATTTGATGATCAAAATAAATATATATATATATATATATATATATATTGATTAAATTTGTTTAAATATGTTATTATAACACAATTAACCAAAAAATAAAAAATAAACACAAAATTGATGACATTTGATTTGATACCATTGTTTTTTTTTATATATTTATTTTTCTATATGTTTCAATATATATATCGGGTATATTGTGGTACGTTATGTCACAACAACAACAACAACTATACACTACTACTATCTCATACATATATATATATATCACCCAATTATCTGATCCATCAGTAGTATACACGATGTTAACAGTCTAAACTTGGAGCGCATAATCGCCATCAAAGGTTCCCTGGAAAACATGTGCAAAGCCGAGACACTGATCAGCCAAAGATTGCGCCAGAGCTACGAATCGGACATCAAAGCCCTGGAACCAACACAGGCGCTGATGTTTCCTGGTTTGCATCCCATGTCACTGATGTCGACATTGGGCGGCGGCGGTGGTGGTGCCCAAAACTATCCACTAGCCGGTCCTCCCGGCGGCGCCAGTGGCGGACGTGATGGTGGTCATCGTGGAGGCGGTGGTCACGGCGGCGGCGGTCCGGGTGCCTCACCGTCCGGCGCCAGTGGAGGAGCGCATCCATATTTTCTCTACAATCCGCCTCAAGCATACAGTGTGCCTCAACTAATGTCCAGTGCCGGCGGCGGTATCGGCCATCCGGCCGGTCCAGGCGGCCATCTGCAGCCATCGGCTTCACTCACTGCCGGTTTTCCCGGTTTGACGTTTGCCGGCGCCGGCATCGACCAGACCAAGGAAACAGTCTTTCTATACATACCTAACAGTTCCGTCGGTGCCATCATTGGTACTGGCGGTGCATCTATTAAGGAGATGATCAGCAATTCTGGTGCCAGCATTAAAGTAAGGGTTTTTAAACTCAAAAAAAATGTTAACCATTTCATTATCGATGCTCTCTCTCCCATCAATAGGTGGCTCAGTCTACCAGAGATGAGTCGTCGTCGTCAGCGGCGTCCACACAACAACAACCACAGGACAGCCGACACCAACAACAACAACAAGACGAACGAAAGGTTACAATAGTTGGCTCACCGGAGTCCCAATATGTGGCACAGTTTCTCATCTATCGTAAGGTGTTTGTCGAAAGTTTTCATCCGTCGGCGTCTACTGGATCCCAGTCCACACAAGATCCCCGACTTAAAGTGGAAATAATGATTCCTTCCACACAAGTCGGCCGTATCATTGGCAAAGGCGGTTCGGTGGTCAAAGAGATGCAACGAAATACGCGAACCATTATCAAACTGCCAGAAGATACGTCATCGTCAGCGGCTTCATCGGCAGCTTCTGGCGACGGCGGGCCAGTTACGCCCGACGAGACGCCCGTTCATATATTTGGCGACTTTTATAGTACGCAAGCGGCTCAGCGACAGATCCGGTCATTGGTTAGCCGCGGTTCAGCTGTAGTGCCTTCAATGCTATCATCGGGAACAGTAGTTGGAAAACAGTCTACATATAATAAATCTTCTACTAAAGATAGATCAGCCAATCATAATCAACAGCAATCACAGTCACCTCAAACAACAACAACAACAGTGACGACAACGTCGGCGACAACAACACCGACAACAACAGGCGAACAACAATCAGAAACGCCTCCTCAACAACAACAACAGCCACCACCACCAGAGCCTGAGTCTCAATCAAAACAATAAAACAAACAAAAAAAATAGTAAGAGATATATATATATATATCGATATATATATATATATAGAAAACAGTTATCTTTTTTTAAAATAAAATTTTTTTTTTAGTTGACACACGCGGTGTGTGTGTGTGTGTTTGTGGGGGAAAAAAGGGATGGCCAATATCTATATCATTTAGCAGGGGGGGGGTGACTACTCTCTCTCTCTCTTTCTCAAGTAGGGAGGGGTCAACTGATCCATACACTTAACAAAAAAAACACTACTTTTTTTAAAAAATAACAAAACAAATGAGCAAATTCTTGGGGGAGTTGGTAGTCAGCTCTCAATTTTAAACAACTGTTTAAAAAAAATAACTAAATAATAGATAATTTTTTTTGAGAATTTTTTTATTTAAAAAAGTATAATCAAATAAATTAGAGCAAAAAAACATAATGTTTTAAAGTGTTTTAATAATAATAAATTTTTTTGTTGTTGTCGTCAAATTGTGATTTAATTCAAATTAAACAAACAAAAAAAACCAAACGTATATATATTATTATTATGATTATTATTTAGCGCATTTCTATACAAGCAATTTGTATGCCATTTACTAATACAACTACTACTACTACTACTACCACTACTACTACTACTAACTAACTAATTAACCTATAGTTTGGGATAATTTTTCTTTTAAAAAACATTTAAATAATTAAAAAAAAATATTTGATGAATAATTACCGCAAGATTTTTGGATTTTTTTTTTGTTTCAATAATTATTGATCAGTATATATATATATATATAACTCAATACATATTTTACTATTTTAATTAGGATTAAAATTATTATCATTATTATTATTATGATTATAAATCTAGATTTGGTGCACAAATGCGAACATTTAAATAAATAAATATATATATAATTTGAATTGATTTTTATCTAATTTGTTGTTTTAAAAAAAATCTAATTTAGTAATCGATACTAAATAATTATAATTAATTAATTGATTGATTGAATTTAACAGGCTCTTTTTTAATGATGATAAAAATGTTTGATTATTAAAAAAATACATTTTGATAGACTATATAATTAATTGATTGAATTTTATTGAGTTATTATTATTATTATTGAATGCCATTTGGATATATCTATTGGATATTATTTTTATTATATAACCCGCGATTTGATTGATTTTGTTAAACTGCATATATATATCAATTTGAAAGATATATATATATATATATATAATTTTTTAATAAATTAGAATAACATTTAGAAATTTGTCTTTTTATAATTATATACATTTAAATATTATATATAAATATATCATATTTTGTGTCATTTTTAAAAAAATATATACAGGTATATACAGTATATATATATATATTTAGTTATTATTGGTATTATTATTATTATTATTATTATTAATGAACAGTTATTTAATCGCATTTATATAATAATCCTTTTTATGATTTTTTTTTAAAAATAATAATTATTTGAATAATTTCATTATTATAATCAAGATATAAACTTCTGGTTTCATTTATTTAATAATTTTTTTTGTTAAAAAATTATTAATAATTTTAAAAAACTAGCGTTCAATTTGTGCACTGATCTACTAATTACTCAGTTGTGTCCACTGTTTTTTAAAAATTAAAAAAATAAATAAATAAATAAAACAAAAACAAATATATGTAAAAGGATTTTATGAAATAATCAATTTTTTTAAAAAATATTAATTAATTATTTAAAATTGGATTTCAGTTATATTATGACTTGAATTTTTTTCTCTTGAATCACTAATTTTATTGTTGTTTTTAATTATTATTATTATTATTATTAATAAATGTCAGTAATTAATCGATACATACAATAGGAATACATAACTTAGTTTTTTTATTATTTAAAATAATATTATAAATAAAAAAATAATTTTGTTTTCAAATAGAAAAAAATAACTAAATATATTAAATGAAAATTAATTAATTAATTCATTCATTTTTTTAAAAAATTGCAATTATATTGTATCTAATAATACTATTGTTAAGCATTTAAGTATATATATATTATATATATATAATTCAATAATATTCTCTATACAACAACAAAAACACATACATTAATACAGTCGATGGTTTTATTTAAAATAATTTTAAAAAAAAAATATTTACTAATCAAATACACAATTAATTTTTGTTTGTTTGTTTGGCTAATAATAATTATAAATATTTACACACATATAAAAAATCTCCGATTGTTTGGCTGGGCTCAGGCCTACCGGTCTATATAAAAAAAAACAGTATATATATATAAATTTACTATACTATCCGTTAAATAAATAAAAAATAGCAATGTTTTTTTTTAAAAAAAAATAATAGAAAAATATTTTTGGGGGTAAAACACACACCACATATAAAGGGGAGGTTTTGAGACTCAACATTGGCCATCCCATTGGTTATATAGTAATTTATAGATATATATATATATATATATACATACATACATATAATTTATATATATATTAAAATAAATATATAAATAAAAATTATTATTATTATTATTATTGATATTATTATTATTATTATATAAATAATTTGCTCAAAAAAAGTAATTGTAAGAGAATTTCTAAATATTATATATATATATATATAATATTGAAAACAAATTAATTAAAAAAAAACAAAGTTTATAATTATTTGTCTATTATTATTGTTGTTGAAAAAAACTTGATTTTTTAAATAAATATATTAGTTATTGTTTTCTTAATTTTTAAGGATAGGTATAACACTTTGTATGTGGAGACAGGTACAGTAGGTAATGGACATCCAGGTAAGATCCAAGTAATAAACAATACCCTACACAGGTGCTGGTAAATTATTATTATTAATAACTAATAACTAAAATAAATTTTGAAACATTTTTTTAAAATTAAAATCCAAGCTTTACTTCGAGAAATTTTTTTTACAAAAAAAAACTTCATTACAAATACCATTTTAAAAAGAGATATTAATAATTAGAAATTATTAATTATATATATATATATAACAAAATGATTTTTCAAATGATTAATAATAATTTGTTTTTTGTTTTGTTGTTAAATCGGAGTTTTCTTTTAATTATAAAATTTTTTTAATAGATTTATATAATTTGTTTTTTATATAAATATATTGATAGATATATTGAGAAGACAAGTGTGTGTGTGTGTGTGTTGTGTGTATGAAATGAATATTACAGTATATATAAGTAATAATTATAATAATAACAGCAAAAATATATAAATATATATCAATAATAAAGTATATGTTGTATTATTTTTGTTGTTGTTTTATATATATATATATCTTTTTAAATTAAATTAATATCAATAATAATAAAAATACATAGAAATCGCTAAATATATTTATATATATATATAATAACGTTAAGCGCCGTGAATACAATACTTCTAAAATATATATATATATATATAACTAATTAATTAATTAATAATAATTACAATTGAAATTTTATCGCTCAATCAATTTAGTAAAATGGAGTGTCCGTCCGTTTATTATTAATTATTATTACAATTATTAAATTATTTGTTTTAATTAAAAACTAAATTACTATTATTATTATCTGACGGGCAAACAGAGAGAGAGAGAGAGAGAGAGTAAACATAAGAGGAAAAGGGTTGTTTGTTTGTGTGTTTCAATCAATCAATTAATTAATTTATATAATTAATAATATTTAAAAAATTATTATTATTATTATTAAAAAAAAACAAATTCAATTCATCATATTATAAATTATTAAAAAAAAAATAATTAATAATTAATTATTTTTGATTTTTAAGTTGATTGGAAAGCCAATCGAGACCCTCGTAGAGTCCATCGCCCGATGTGGCACAGGTAGCCTGTATATACCAGTTGCGATTGCGCAACGAGTGTAGTCCCAGTTTGTCGGTAATCTCGGCCGCATTCATGGCGTTCGGCAAGTCCTACAATAATAATAGTGTCCACAACAACAATACGGGAGGGGAGAGGTATTAAGTATTAAAAAAAACAACAAACAATTGTCCAATTGATTGGATTGGATCAGATCTGTACTATACCTGTTTGTTGGCAAATATCAACAGTACGGCATCCCGGAGCTCGTCTTCGGCCAGCATACGCATCAGCTCTTCGCGAGCTTCGCCTATACGCTCTCTATCGTTAGAGTCGACCACAAATATCAAGCCCTGAGTGTTCTGGAAGTAGTGCCTCCATAGCGGCCGAATCTTGTCCTGACCGCCGACATCCCATACGGTAAACGATATGTTCTTGTATTCGACAGTTTCCACATTGAAACCTATTATTTACGAATAATACAAAACAAAATACACATTAAGACAGTGTGTAAGGACTGATCCCATCATCAATGATGTCTGACAGACAAATAGATAGAGATCCGATCCGACGGACAGAATTGTAAGGTGTGTTAGTAGCGATTGTCACCATCACTATCATCACCCGCAACAACAACCAGTACCTACCGATAGTGGGAATAGTGGTCACAATTTCGCCCAACTTTAGCTTATAGAGGATCGTTGTCTTTCCGGCCGCGTCTAAGCCGACCATTAGTATACGCATCTCCTTCTTGCCGAACAAGCCTTTGAATAGATTGGCAAAAATGTTGCCCATTGTTGTTGCTGTTGATGTCGATTAGGTATCTTAAGGTTTCTTAATGTCTTCTGGAGTGGTGGTCGTAGTCGTCGACAATGATGTCTATGTTGTTGTTGTTGTCGAGGATCTGTTGGCCGGAAAAAAACAAAACAATTATTATTTGATATATCAAATCAATAGTAAAATCAATGGTAACCTCTGATAATCTTAGTATGGATTCAGTAATAACCAGCAGCTGATGATCAGTCAATGGATGTGTCAATCAATGGTTAAATTAGATGATAATAACAATCAAATCAATGGTTAGTTTTTATAATCCAAATGAGTGTCTGTTTAACTGTCTGTCTGTATGTATGTATGTGTGAGTCAACTATGAGTCCAAATGGCAACACATTTATAACATTGAATATAACGTTGAGTTTATACAGAGAGAGAGTTATATTACAGTATATATACAGTACTAATACATACAATACTGACGTGGAATACATGTATACTATATAATAGTCTATACAATACATACATACACTGTGTATATATAAATACAGTCAAACACTAGTTTTTATATACACTTTACATACCATATATTTTATTCAAAATTTTATTTTTATCATACATAAAATAATAAAGTTTTTAGTAATAAACTTATACCCAAAAGTTTTTATTTAAGAAAATTAAATTGTTTAAAAAAAATTTGTTTTAATTTGTATTTCCAAAAAAATAAAATAAAATAATTTTTAATAATAATTATTTTATATTTTTTTTACTTATAATTTATTGTTAGACTAATAATAATAATAGTATTGCTATTAATAAAAAAAAAAAGTTGCCGGCGTTTAATACAATGCAATACAATATCAATGACTGTATACTTAAAAAAAATTATTTATTTAATTTTTTTTTTAAAAATGTCAATCAATAATGTCGTTGACTGTATTATCCCCTAATTTTTATTAGTGTTTCTAATAGAGTGGGGGCTATTGGGGGGGATTATGTCAGTGATAGCATTAGATTGAATAGTAGTATGTTTTTGAATAACCAATAATCCTATTTCCCCCACCCATCCCCCCATCTCACTAGTCTAATTGGACGTCGTTTGTGTTGCTACCCCACACACACACACACACACACACATAACTGGACGACCATTTTGTTTCTGTAATATTCAATATTCACTGTCAACGCCTGCACTGTATAGATCATTCAAATACAACGTTACCGAATAACTAGACAAATATTGTTCCCCCTCTATATGTCTATGTGTGTGTGTGTGTATATGGATAGCAATGTACAGTACAGTCAATACTACAGTGTATTTTTATTTTGAGGGGCAAACGCTTAACATCAGCCACGACGCGGCGCGCGTCCACCCAATTGGACACTTATGGTCGCCGACGGCGGCGGCGGTGGCGGTAAACTAATAGATTATCATAACTTAGTGATTGTCATACACACACACACACAAACACACTAAACTATAAAAAAAGAGTATTACCAAGGTTAAAAAATAAAATTTAAAACTAAATATTAATTAATTACATTTTTTGGCTTGTGCATGATAATTATAAAATTGATTTAATTAAACAGGTAGTATTAATAAATTATAATAATTAATTAATAATAATAAAATGGTTATCTCAATTACCTGGATTATATATACTGTATATTATTTAATAATATTTTTTTTATAGCAATAATAAGTTACAACTAAATATATGTTAGTTTATCTAAAAAAAATTGTTTTTTAAATTTGTGATACACTTACCCGAAAATGTCTGTAATTAAGTTTTAACCGCTATTATGAAAAAATTTTTATATTATGAATCGATAGACTGTTTTGATTATTAGCCGCCAATTGGCGCCTAAAACTGTTTGTTAAATATCTTATGTTTTTAAAAAAATATATTTTTATTATTATTATAAACTTATTAGTGTTTTATTTTTAAAAAAAAAATAATAACAATAAAAATATCATATATGATCAGGGACACTTTCCCCACCCCACTTTATTTATGCACAAAAAAATATCCAGGGATAGGGGGACTTTTATCCCCCCGCCCACAAAAAATGTAAGTAAAACTTTTAAATTTTTTTTTAAATATTAGATTTTAAACAATTAAATATATAACTAATATTGTTTGTTTATAATTAATTTATCATGGTCAAATTTATTAGTAATAATAATAATAAAAATTAATAGATTAAGTAGAGCAGCAAAATTGAAGTTTAGTTTTTTGGGGGGGGCGGGGTGGATTGCGAAAAAATTAATTAATCTAAAAATTTAATTTAAAAAATATACTCATCAATTAAAATAATAATAATAATAAAATTAAAATAAATAAAATATTTATTTTAATTTTTATATTAGTATTTTTAATTTTATTATTATTTATTTAGCATAACATCATAATCTATTTATTTGATATTAATAAATAATTTTTACTATTTAACAATTTATTGTTTTATATAATAATAAAAAATAATTTTATAAAACTATTAATTAATAGTTTATATTATATATATATATATATTGTTATATATATAATGATTTAAAATATTTATAATACATTTTTGTTTTATTCACAACCTTTAAATATTTTACATAACTTTTTTCGTTAATTTTTTTAATTAATAAATTTAGTTACATAAAAATATATAGTTAATAGTATACTAGTTTAAGTACATTATATATATACAATCAATTTAGTAATCAAAGTCAA